TACATATTTATTGTCTATTGTTATTTACATTTTGATGTATATATTTCTTATCCTTGTTGTATTTCCACTTTGTGCTACTGGACAAAAAACCTCCCCCCCCACAGGGATCAATGAAGCTCTATGTAAATCCTGATTAATCTCATTCAGGAGTTAATAGTGCCTGAATTGATATTCACAAAACCACAGGAATGTGGTGTGGTGGTGTAAGAGTAACTGTAACACCCCAACCACAAATATACAGCGTGCAAACAAATATTCAATAATGTGAAATCATCCTGATGTCATTATATAAGTAATAACAGATTACACAAGCATAGGTTACAAAAAAAGTTCATATTTTGAACTTCAGGACCTCAGACATGTCTATACGAGTTGAAAGACTTTTTACTTACATGCCTCAAATTGGGGATCTTAGCCATGTTGCATTTTGATTTATTTGCATTACAAAAATAGCTTTAATATAATCAATTACTAGGTCGTCAATAACCACAGGTCCGCATAGCGTCTCTTTAAGTTACAGAAAACAATATGAAATTATTGCGCTGACCTCGTCTTAAATTGATAGACTTATTTCTAGTCCATGAAGCAGTTCATTGTGATGAGTTATTTCTTGTCCATTTATATTACTTAAAAAGTGACTGATTTACACGTAATACTCACTTTTGCTGCCAAGCCGGCGGATCTCCTCAATTAACAGCGTTACCTCGTGATCCACGTTCATTGTTTCTGCAAGTTACACAGCACACATTACTGACTATGTGCTACGGCATTAAACGATATGACAATGTAGATTATTCTTTCCCATTTAATTACACATGGCCACAGCAAGAAATACAAACACAATTGTGCACATCACACGTGGGTGCTTTGGCATCTAGGTGCACGAAATCATCGCAGGAATAAAGCAACTACGGTAACTACTTTCTCTCTGTTCTTAAGGTGTTGATACTGTAATCTTAACGAAATTTTGCGCAATTTTGCCTCTTAAAAAGGATAAGGAGTCTGCTTTATTCCTGGCTGTATGTTTCCTTTGGCGATTCATTCATATGTATGTAGAGCTAGCAGGGCTCGTCTTATGCGCAATGGCGAAATAATAATAGCCTAATAATAATAATAATAATTATTATTATTATTATTATTATTATACATATGATGACGAAAAGCCAAATAAAGACGGATCAACAACTGGTTCACATCCCAGATCTGAGTCCCTGCCAGGCGCTTTTCTCTCGTTTCAATTCTGTCCTAACCTGCCGGCAGAAACGGATCAGGAGGGTGGAGCGACCCGAGTCTTTTACTGGTTTCATCTGATTGCCTCGATTCTTTAAAATTTCTCATACATACGGAAAATGTTTCGTGCTGCTGCTTCCAAAAGACACGTCGCCTCATGTAACCACGCCGGCCAACCTTATTATTCGGATCGAGAAACAATAAAATGTACAATAATACGGTTCAAAGAAACTGAACGCGGAAGTGCCCGGCTTTTACCAAACTCCAAAGCACATGATAGAGTACACGAAAATACTAATCGCCCATAACCCGATCATTACTATTAACCATTACAATCCGCGTGAAATATAGTGATTAAAGAAATATACATTGACACTGATACACCCCGCAGCTAACAGCATACGGTGAAAACCGCTGCAAAGTGAAGAATCCGCATTTTGTCAGAGTCGCTGCAGTTCAATATAAAACATGTTCAACACAACCCAAATGTGCTGTTCCATTTATATGTTGTACATTGAAATGTGCCAAACTCACCTCGGCAATTGTATGTAGTAATCTTTCTACTGAAGTCTCTGCACTCATGAAAAGGAACTACAGGAAGTGGGTAAACTCACTGTCAGGAGAAACCAGTTAACAGAACCATACAAAAGCAGTCGGTGATTGTGACGTCACAACGTCTTGCCAGAAAGGGATGCACCCACAATAACGTGAAGGTGATACACTACTACATGCTAGCACTAATGTCTGTTTTTTACAAAGCAATGCATTGCAAAAATGCTGTCATGGAGATTTTAGTTTAAAGCAACGTTCAAAAATTTTGCTTAGGACTATGCTGCTTAGGACAATATATAATCAATGCCTTATTGATTACATTCATAATGACACTATATATAATATAAAGCAATGCAAATGTAATAGTGTGTTGAGAAACTGGACTCGTGTGGTATTTATATAAGGAAAATACAGACAGCGTTACATACTGGTAAGGAAGTGTTTTTTGTTGCAATTACAAAATCATATGCAGAAATATAAGAAGCCACACTCAGAAAAAAGGGCACCAATTTGTACCTTTGCCTGTCACTGGGGCTGTACCCACAAGTGTCTGCCAATTGTACCCTTAGCTGTATGTAATTTAGTCTAATTTAAGATACAGAAATGGACTCTGAGGAACATCCTCAAAGTGCTGACAGCATTAATGGTACAATGGTCAATGGTGCAAAAATGTTCCTCATAGACGACTTCTGTACCTTAAAAGTACATTTACCCTTGAGGGTACAGCCCCAGTGACAAGCAAAGGTACAAATTGATTAGCAGTATATCATTGAAGGTGCTCAATTTGATATAGCCATTTATAAATAAATTGTTAAGCATTGGAAAGTTGACTGAACAACTATAAATGAAAATAAAATTCAAATAAAACAAGTTTCCTTTATAAAATGGAAATAGTATGCAACAGTGCATGTCTGGCATCCTATTAAGTGGTTGTGCTGATTGCATAGTCAAATTAATTTCCTTTAACTTTAAATGCACTAACTAACCATTTCATCCCATGAAACAGAGCAGTACTTAATGTCCCTTGTAAAAAGAATGGCTCGAATTTTCTCTGCTGCTATAACTGCTAGAGGAGGTTACTTTGATGAATCAAAGATGACATTTTCTTGCTAATAAAGGTACTCAAATGGTGAACATACTGTAAATTTATTTGTTAGCAAAAAGTATCGAATGTATTTTTAGGAAATGGTGAGTAACATGCAAATGTCGAAAATCTCAATGTATGCAAAAACTTTTAACTGGCAGTGTATGCAGAGAGAGTGTCTGTGTGTACTGTGGTGGATTGGCATCCCGTCTAGGGTCACCTCTGTTTTTTTCCCATCTACTAATTCATCAAATCCAATTTTACAGCCTAGAAGGACACCAGACCATACCAGAGCTGGAGACTAGAGTAAATAAATGATTATACTTTAATAGTATGTCTCCTCTATATTAGGCTGAAGGCAACAAAAGAATAAAACAACAGAAAGAAATGCTCTTTCCTATTAACAATGTGATATGGTAAACAAAATGTAATCAGACGCAGGTTAATAGTGCTACAGCACAATAGTAGTCACATTGTAATAAGACTCATAAGTGGAGTTACACGTGGAATGTATATATTTGTTAAACAATACAACAATACAGAAAAGTCAACTATCTATAAGGCAGTAGGCAGGAAAAGTTTAGATTGCATCAAATGGACTACACACAAAATACAGAAATTCATATTAAGTTCTGCAGTTAGAACTTCACATTGTAGTAGCATATGGACAATTCACATTCAAGGGTAGAAATGAACAAAAAAATACATAAATATAGTTGCAATAGTTTTATCAGCCCCGGGGCATAGTATTTTAGTTAGGAACAATAGGTTCGAAAGACTAGGCAAAAGCAGGTCCCAGTAAATAAAACCACCATGGGTTATAATGTGATTTAGTGTCGATGTGAAGGCTCAGAAATATCCAACCTCAACCTGTTCAGTATCTGAAAGTCACTCCACTATCCAGAAGTCAAATACAAGTAGTGTCTTTAACATAAAAGTGTAATAGGCCTACAAATAAAAAACAGTTACAAGGAATTTGAACTGCAGAATTATTTCCAAGGTTCACAAAAATCATTTGAAATGAAAGCCCTGATATTAAGTTTTCGGGATAGGTGAAGTGTAACCAGGGCGATTCTAGAAATTGACCCTTAGGGGGCAAAGTCCTCGTAGGGTTGCCACTTTCAATATGGAGATATTACGGGGAAAATAATTATTCAATGGACCTGAGACAAAACATAGGACGGCTGAAGCCCTCTTTAAAATGTTCTAGAATCGTCCATGGGTGTGATCTCCATGCAATACACTGACATGGAATTGTAACGGGAACATGCATTTCTGCAGCTGCTCTAACGCACTGTCCTCTGCCACACAAACCTGACATGAAACACGCTGCTCCACATAAACGGCAGAGCCGTAGCAGCTCACAGCGCGCGACCGGTAAGGACAATCCCCCCCCACCACACACACACACACCCCCGCCCCACCGGAGGCTCGCGCTGCTGACTCGCTCCGCGTGCGGCGGTGACGTCACGGCCTACAGGAATGGCGGCGCAGGCTGTTCAGGGAAGCGACCTAAAGAGCCCCAAACTTTACTGCTAACGCCGTTCGCGGAATTACAGAGAAACAGCCGAGAAAAAGAAAAGTCAGAGGCCGGAAAGATACGGAGGCGAGCTCCGCGGCACTCGAATCGCTCCCGCTGGGCGTGCGGCTCCAGCGTCGGGGTCCAGGAGTTGGGTGCCGACTTTGTGCTGCTCTGCTAGCTACCTGGCTAGCTAATATAATCATATATAGACTTAGACTTGCAGGCTACGGTTAGCTGGGTAAAAGTTGGGTAGCCGTATAAGTAGCCTATTTATTTTAATCGGGAAGTTTTAAAATACGGCGGCCACTTGTAGCGGGGTTCGAGGCGTCAGCGCAGCGAGCGTGAAGCCGAGGCGCGCAGCGCTTTGCGCCCTTTGTGGTCGCTAACGCAGCCCGGTTAGCCAGCCAGCTAGCCAGCCCGCCCGCGGCGTTTCTACGCCACAATGGAAACTTTAACCCTGAGCGACGTGGAGCAGAAATATTACTCGGATCTGTTCGTCTACTGCGACACGGACAACACGAAGAAAGTGGCCTCCAGCGGTAGGGTTCGCGACCTCTTCCGAGCGGCCCAGCTGCCTAACGAGGTGGTGCTGCAGGTAACCCTCCGCTTCAGCATCTGTCAAGCCGGGGGTGGGTGTGTGTGTGAAGGGCTAAGGGAGGGAGACGCCGGACCTCCCCTCGCCGGGCGCTGGGGCTCCGCTGCCGGACGTACCGTCCTGTCAGCCCTTCGCCGTGTCTTTGAGGCTCGGTGGAGAGAGCCGGGGGGCTACGCCTTCTTGGGTGTCCGTCTTGCGGCCGGGACAGCTGTGCTCGACCGGCGGAGGCGGATGCTCCTGTCCTGGGAAGCGCGGATCGGCTCTTTGCAGGGTTTATGGTCATTTCCTTGCATATGAGTGAACCGCAGTGCGTGGGGTTAAAGACCTGGACGCCTTAACGGGGCTGGTCCCCCTTTTTTTTTTAAACCCGCATGAATAATGTCACTAGTTTCCATGATCTAGCAAAATGTTATGGTAAACTCTATGTGGTTGGCGTGTCCCCCTTATCTGCCGTTCCGCTCCGGCAGCCAGCATCCTGTATTTCTGCACTTTATCGTAACCTCAATAAGGGATGTGGCCGCTCTTTTAAACATGCAGTTCTGCGCCCTAGTCGTGAAAATTCACTAATCATAATTATAAATGTTTTTTTTTCCGGCCTACTGCTGCGATTTAGTCTAGATGACAGACGAGCTTGTTGGAAATTAATTAGGTTGTTTAGTCCGGATCCCTGTACTTCTGCTCTCCACTCACTGGCGATTAAGGGAGATCTGTGTGGGTCAACCCGGAGACACACCTGTTTACCGGCTTCGGTGGGTGAGGCTGTATTTAATTGATCAGTTCAAAGAGTGTTAATCTCACATAAATGCTGGATTTTACTAAAGCGATGGGAATGACACGCCAGCAATAAAAATATTCATTAAAATGTGCGTGTCGTCTGAAAATGTTACGTGCATTTCTTCGCCTCATATTATAGGCATGGGTGTGTCTGGCTGATGCATGCTTTGAATCGACATTTATTCTAAGTTTTTCTGGTCTGTTTTTTCCTAAGGTCACAATCGCTGCCTGCGTTTTCTTTGGACTCTAATTTCCTATTCGGGACCAACTGTCACAAGGGAAATGTTAAACGTCCCCTTTATCTGAGTCGTGTACTGCAACTTGCATAGATTGTATCCGGCACATCAAATGTTGACATGTTTGGCTCTGTGATCAGAAAATTTATATTTTTGAACAGCACTATTCCGAAAGCTGGTATGTTTAAGACAGTAGTATAAGTGTTATTTTTTTCAACAGAAGACAAAGTTCTCATCTGTTCAGTTGTTGACGGTGATGGTAGATCAAACTACAGCTGTTTTTGAAATTAATATGAAACTGTAGTAGCATTGCTAAAGTTGCTTCTTTTAATGTCCCTACATGTGCATCATTGTTCTAGGACATCCTCTTGTCAAAGTGCAACTTCCTCTTTCCTGGTGAAATGTTTGATCAGCAAAATCCTTCATTCTGGTAAATTCTGTTACCCTCAAACAGATTGTCGGTCCACCCCCAGCATTTTGTTTTAAATCACTTTTGTTTTTATGTATCATTCTCTCACAAGGTAAAGTAATACATTATCAATTTTGAGTATAACATAATTATAAATTTTATATACTTTCTGTAAACAGACTAACGTGAAATGAACTGAGATAAGATAGCACTGCCATCTTTAAATCCATCATCACTAAACATAAATTGAATTAAAACAAAACTCTGCATATGAAAGCTTTGTCCTTTTACTTTTGATTGATGTAATTGAAATATTATGTATCTGCATGTCTGTTTGATGTAAATTTGTTTGTCTTAATGAATGCTTCAGCTCATTTCTGAAAATGGCCCTGAGGTTATTGGTAAACTTGAAACCAGGTCTTGGGTGAATTCTGCTATGAAGCTGTCTATAAGGACAGCCATACATTATGCAAATAGACGGCAGTGTGTTACCGATTAACTTACGCTCAATGGTATTAAAGAGCTACTTTTTTTTTTTTTTTGCAGATCACAGAGCTCTGCGGAGCCACACGTCTCGGTCATTTTGGGAGAAGCCAGTTCTACATTGCATTAAAACTCATAGCCGTGGCCCAGTCAGGCTTACCACTGCGGGTGGAAAGCCTAAACACTGGTAAGCTGGCCTGTTCTCAGTCTTCATTTATCTTTTTAGATCAGCTACAGACTTAATAAGTTACCATTATTTCTTCTTTAGTCTGAATTTGGAGGTTTGTTAATTTTTTTTTTGTAGGATACTGTCCTGTAATTTAGTTCATAAATTAGGCCTAGTTTATAGATCTCTACATGTAGGAATCACATTTTGTGGTCTTTTCAGAAACAGCTTTGAAAATCATTAACGGTTGTAAGACATCGCAACACATGCCACCAAAACGAATGGTGCCTCATTGTTGTCTCATATTGCCGCGGTCTGTGCTTTATTATAAATGTACATGGGACAACAACCAAGGAAGCCGGACGTGCTTGGAAGTTAATGCTGCTCTCACATCTCCGCGATCTCCCTTGTATGCTAGAATCCGCTTGGTACAGCTTTAGTGAATGTTGTGTCTATTATGATGTTCCCGCAGAGCATACAGAGTGTTGGCGCGTCAAAAATTACAAAAACAAAGAGCGGCCAACACTGAGCGATGATGGGTTTTAGGGGATAAAGGATGAAGGGGAAACCGGGGAAAAGCATTCACTGAGGATATGCAGGCAATAAAGACATCCCTATAGGGCTTGAGATGCGAGCGGGAATGGCAAAGCAAGTAAAACAGGAAATTGCGAGCCCCAAGCAGAAGGCTGGGTCTCCGGGATCTTAGAGTGCAGGCCAGTTATGTTCCTCCGCTGTGGGGGGAGGCTTAATACAGTCAAAAGTTCTTTCATGTGTCAAGTTGTTTATGACAGTTATTCACTAGTGTGAATATTTTCTAAATTGACATTATCTTTCTCAAGCCAAGGAGCTCGCTTACGTCTGTAGGCTAGAGGAACTGCCTCGCAGCTTCTGACGGGATTCTTGTTTTTCCAAAGAAGGGTTTTAGAATTTCTGTCGCAGATATATTTGATGCGCACTCCGTCTTAAGTTTGTTTTTTCTTTCCTTAAAATTTTAAGCATTACTAAGCATCTTAGTAATGTTACTAAGGAATGCAATTTTACTGGACTTCCTGGTATTTACGCATTTTTATACCCATCTATCCATTTTTATATATCAATTCAATTATTTATATGTACACACAGACACACACACACAAAATATTTGTGTGTGTGTCTAATTTTATCTGGTTCTTATCTCAGAATGAGTACTTAACTGAACCTAGTTATTGCCATGAGATAGCCATGGACGCTGACATGGCATTAAACTTTTAAATACCTACCTACTGGGATGCTTGTTTAACATCAGAAGAACATGTGTACGTCTTTATGAAACTGTATACAGAGTGGTTAGTTTGACGTGTTGCCAGTGATTAAGTGGGTTTTTTATTACACACTTGCTGCCGTATTACATGAGCGCGTCATTAGTTCACGGTCTACTTATAGTGCTGCTCCCTGGTTGCTCGGTGAGCTGTTGTCCACATTATGTTAGAGCATTATGTTACAGTCCCTCCCACATCTGCCCGTCCACAGTCAAGGACTTGCCTCTGCCGCGGTTCGCCGTGGGAAAGAACGAGCAGGAAGTGAGACACGCCGCCCTGTACCCAGACTCCGAGAACCAGGCGCCTTACTCCGGCGTGATCCCGCGGCCTCCGGGCCGAGTGCAGCCCAAGAAGGCTGCAACTCACGAGCCCCTCCAGCCCTGCGTGCCCACGATAGACTCGCTGGTGAGCTCTGCCTCCGCACTTTGCAGCGTTGACGTTGGAGGAGAGTGAGACGCCAGTCAGCTAATGGCCGACGCTTTTTGATGGAATTGTCAGTTATCATTAGGGATTGTGACAATTTTTCCTTTTTTTTTTATGGCAGTTTTGTATTTGGTCACATGCTTATCACCTCTGGAAGAGCGGCATGTAACTTTGGATTGAGCAATTTGGATTGTTGTAATGAATTATTTTGAGCTGAGTTCGGCCACTTTCACGGTACTGAAAGGCACTACACGTGCGTGATGTTTCACAAGAGTCTCTCAAGTTTTATCAAAGAACGGGTCTGAATCGCATTTTTCTTCAGTACTACTGACCTTAAGGGACATTGGATTCTTGTTGGAGAGGGGAGAGGCCCATACATCAAGTTTTTACAATGATGAAATATCCTGTCTTGTACATTAAAAATTCTTCAGGTATAATCGCACAGAAATGCACCACAATCTAATATGCTAGCCTGAACTCTTGGCAGGAAGAGGAGCAGCCTAGATCTGTAGGTAATGATGACCATTCTGCTTCACCCCCCCCACCGTAGCCTGACACGACCTCGCCCGTGGGCTCCCCGACGCAGTCCCCTCCCACCTCACCCCATACCTGGAGGAAGCACCAACGCCAGGCTAGCGGAGGTAACTCGGAACGTCAGCCTGTGGTAGCCGGTGCTGTCTGGGCCCCCTTCTGAGAGGCACAGTCAGGTACTGCAGAGTTCTGCTTGGCGGTGACCTCCCGGGGACATTGGCTGCAAGGCGATGGGTCACATGCAGACCAAGAGTTGTTAGCATCCTCTAAATGCACTTAGCTAGTTAGCTAGTCATATTAGCATGTGTTGACAAAAGAGTATGGAGTCTTCTCTTGAACTTTAAACTATCTTTCTTAGGATTGATTGATTGATTGATCAATTAGTAAACAAATGACTGAAACACTCGTAGTAATTTTAAGAATATTTAAACTAGTGAATGAAGTGGACATTGACACCACAGCATCTGAAAAACCCATTCAGTCTGTTTCCTGCTGAAGTGGGAAAGTTGAACGTTTGTAACTCAGGCTAGATTTTTTTGTGAACTGGTTTAAACTTTGCATTATTTTGTTTTAGTTATCTTTTTTAGGTTAAGCTAGGCAGCGGTGGTCAGTAGTCATAAAACTGCCACCCGCTGGCCGATTTGCCTAACAAACCCCGCTGAGAACATGAAGGTCCCCCTCTGGCCAGCAGGTGACATGGAGGTCGCTGTGAGGTCGTGTGTCAGAAAGCGGAGCATAGACCCCAGGCCTAACCATCAGCAGGCTGTGCGTGACTGCTCCTCCAGCTGTCTCCAACTCTTCGTAAAGCTCTAAAAATTGTGTGAATTGTGCCAGTCAGGCCATGAGATTCCATGAATTTACACAGAAACTTGACCTGACCCTAACCATTGTCTTCCTGTAAAGTTTTTCATCATAAAACCAGCATCTGGACAAATCCAGCTTGATGAATTGGTGATGTTTCCCCCAGTGCTTTCTGTGGTTAAGACTCATAAGGAATGTACCTGGTGTCTTGGTTGATTGTTTTATGTCTGTGCCGCCCCCCCCCCCCCGAAGGGCCAGTGACGGGTGACGGGATGTGGTCGCCCCCCGTTCAGGAGAGTTGGGTCAGCTTCACAGACACGCCTCCCTCAAGTACCCTTCCCACCGTGCACCCCTCGTCAGTCCAGGTACTTCTGTGGCACCTTTCTATGCTTCTGATGGAATGTTCCGGCATCTTGCGGAGTGATTTCGAGTTGGGGGGCAGTGGTGGAGTCTGGGGGAACTTTCATCTGTGGACAGTCCTACATCGAGAAAGTTGCATGGCTGAAGGGCAGATAGAAATCCGGAAGCCCGCTGGCGAAGGCATGTTTGTAAATAACACAGGTTCTTATCTTCTGTTTATATTTCAGTCTTCCCAACTCTGCAGCAGTGACTAATCACTTTTTACATTTTCACAGTTACTGTGCTTCAGTTTTATCAAAGTGATTTAGAGGAACCAAAAATGTTTTTGCACTTTGAACTCTAAATATCTTTTTAGTCCAAAGGTTTTCTTGTATGGTTTTTTTTCTGCTGATACGTAGCGGTTGTTTTACCAGCTCTTGCTAAGAACTTTTCTGCCTTTGGTTTGCTTTAAGTCTTAATTCACATATTGACATTCTAACCTGCACACTTGGTAAAAATGTTAAAGTCAGTGCTGTTTGTCAATAATGGAAAAGTATTCTTCTTGCTGAGTGAACCCGATGTCCTGCTTTTCCAGTGCTTTTGAGTGTTTTGTTGTTTTCCTTCTCTCCCTTGACGTGGCCAGGAGAGCACGACAATAAGGACCGCGGCCTCTGCCACAACCTCCAATGAACTCCAAAGGCAGTCCAGCAGTTACGACGACCCATGGAAAATCACAGACGAGCAAAGGCAGTATTACATCAATCAGTTCAAGACCATCCAACCTGACCTGAATGGCTTCATCCCCGGTGAGTGACCTGCTTTCGGCTTGGAAGCCCGCATCTCTTACGCTCTTTTAATTCCCGCCCTCAATGTGCTCAAATTCTCCATTTCAGGCTCTGCTGCCAAAGAGTTCTTCACTAAATCGAAGTTGCCCATTCTCGAGCTGTCTCACATTTGGTAAGTCCGTGTCAAACTTGGTTTCATGGGCTGAGCAGTAAGTATTATTTTTTTTCTGCATGAGAACAGCTTCTATTCAGTAGCTCAGTAACTTTTGGGATCAGGTCACCTATTCAAGTTGTCAATTGGGACATAACAGGCTGACTCATGTTTTGACTTACAGTTGAAGATCCACCTGTGTGTCTTTGCATGCAAAACTCCTTTTTCTGTTAAACACGTTTTATTGTATTGTCTGTGTTTTAACGCCTTTAGGTGAAGATACCATTTTACTGACTCTTTGAAAGAGGATTTTTAGTAATGTCAAACCAGAGGATTCTTTTTTTTGATTATTTATCAAAAGCTTATCTTAAACATCTTATTTAGAATGTTTTAACTGTTTGTAATCTTTTGTAGTTGTTTATAAAGATTTTACTTTTCAAAATATTCAGTCTGTTATATCGACATACTTTCCATGAATATTGGCCTAGTTGCTGTCAAAATAACTGAGCACTTCTGCTTCATTGCAAAACTGATCATTAAAAATGGGGGGAAAAAAAGTTTATTTTTCTGTGCAGTATCCTATTGAGAGTCTGTACACAGTATCCCCTGCGGTGGCACTGCAGTGAAAGAGGGAATTCCTTTTTAAAACTGCAGTGATTCCTGTTTTGGTTATTCTCAACAACCATATTTATACACTTTGCATTTCAGGGAGCTGTCGGATTTCGACAAGGACGGTGCGTTAACGCTGGACGAATTCTGTGCGGCGTTTCACCTGGTAGTGGCAAGAAAAAACGGCTACGACCTCCCGGAGAAGCTTCCGGAAAGCCTGATGCCCAAACTCATCGATCTGGATGACTCAGCGGGTAAGAGCCACTTGTACCATGCCTGTTTACTGGATTACATGCTGCCACTTTCTGCCGTGTTTTTAATCATTCACCATTCATCCCGGGTGCCTTGTGATAGAATTTTTCATGTGATTGAATTTTTCATGTGGTGCTGTGAGCTCCTCTGAACTCCCCGCCCCGTGTTGCTCTCTCAGAAGTCCCAGACCAAGTCCAGGACGTCGGGTACCCAAACTCTCCTGTGGAAGTGACTCCAAATAAATCTCCCTCCATGCCTTCGCTCAACCAGAACTGGCCGGAGTTGAATCAGAGCAACGAGGTTCGTCAAGCTCTGTTGGTCATCGTCACAAAGAAATAGGTTCACTCAGGGGTGACTGTCATGCATTCTTAAGTTACCTAGTGATTTACTGCAGGTATTTGAACTTGTTCCACAGTCTATTTACCACTTCATTGCACAATCCTGCATTAATATTAAATGAGGTACTTTGTGGTTATGTTCAGATTTTGCCCTCTGAGTGGTTTAATAGACCTATTTTGCTGAGAGATTTTATCTGCAGATAGTTGGAATCTTACACTATTTCTGTTTTTGTAGTATATCAGAAGCAATTTTTCTTTTCAAGTTGTTTATTTTTTGCAAATATCATCTTACTTCTTATGATCAGGTTCTTACTAACTGGGTTCATTGCTCTCTCTCGCTCACTTTTGCTAATTGATCGTTATTGAAGATGCCTTCATTCTCTCCATCAGGGCATCTGTCTCGCCCC